AAGCTCAGAATGGGAGTCTGGGATTGAAGCAGAGAAATTTCAGGAAAGTGCTGTATAGTACCTGTGGGAGAGGTGGGGATCTCTTTAAGAACAAACCCCAGCTACCTGGGTGGGATTATTTCTGAGTTTTGTTATGAACAAATGCCCTTAGTTCCCAAGCGGCAGTATTTATCTTTCAGTCTTGGTCTGGATTGTTCATGTATCTTCAAAATACCAAATATGCTTTCCCTTCCAACATGGCGAGATATTCAGCCTGTGAGGTTTCTGGTGTAGGGCCGGTAAAGAAGCCTGGGACACGGGCAGACAGTAGCAGAAGAAGTCAAGTTTTCATCCACAGAAGTCCAAGTAAAACCCAAGAGCTTTGGGTGTTTTGAATTACTAGTTACACCTATGAAGTATGTACATGAGAGTATTTCATAAATCTTTAATACTTACTCCCTACCTTGGGGGCTATAAGATAGGTCTTGTACTTGACCAGTGATTCTCAGTGTCTGATCTTTAGTAAATTTAAGTCTTAGAGGAATGGGTGGTCTAGACAGAAACAGGGAAAACTCATTTAGCAGAAGTTGGGTTAAGCAGACACACTAACTGGATTAGAAAATTCGAGGGGGAATAATGCCATCCACTTTTAGAACCAAGCCAAGAAGATCCACAAAAACAGAGACAACCATTTACACTTCTACCTGTCCCGCCAACTTCTATCTTAGATGTTTAAAGTTTCAGATTTATGAAACTTCTTCATCAAATCTCTAACAGAACCTGGAGATGCTCTTCTCTATCATCCAAAACATGCTTCTCTGTGCCTGGGAGAACAAGACACCTCTAAAAGAGTGGTGAAACCACTGGGAAGGAGTTTAGAGAAGCAATTCCATTTCAGAATTGGGTTTTCTAACCCAAAGCACCTGACCATTGCTGTTTTTTTTCTTTTTTCCTCCCTCCTTGGTATGTCTTGGGAATGTGGTTACCAAAGGAAATCTGGGCTGCTCTGTGCCAATCAAATCTAAAGAAGGCAGTAATAGAAAGGCCTCTGTAGGGGCAGAAAGTGCTGCTTCTTCTCAGTAAACTGTTATGCATTACAGCCACTGAAGCTCCCTGAGACAGAAGCTGAGGTAATTTCCTGACTTAGAGGTAGGGGGTAATTTACACTTAGTCCTCAACTCCAAATGGGGCCAGCTCCCTGGGTGGATCTAGAAGAACAGTCCAGGGCCACAAGGTAGAAGTGTTGCTACCTGACTAACACGGAAAGAAAGGTGATGGAGGAGGCTTTTCTACATTATTAAGCATAGCTTACTTTAGAAAGTGGGTTTTTTTTTTTAACATGTGTCACCTAAGAAACTACTTCATGCCAGCAAGTCTAGTTTTGATGCGCCCAACATATCTCTGTCCACGAGTCCCCACCTGTCTCTGTCTTGTCCTTTCTGGGGAGTAGAGGCTGTGTGGCACCTGCCCTCCTATGCTGCTACTGAGATGTGCGGGCACCAGGCATCTGCTCCTGCCGCCTGCCCAAAATAGAATGTCTCATTGTGATGGATTAATCCTTTGGCTCCGATCCTGCCCGGGTCACCAGCTCAGCCTGCACAGAGTGTGGGGAAGGGAGGGCCACAAGGGGCACTTAACTCATTCAGCACATTCCCTCTGCTCTCCTGCAGAAGTGTCTGGACAGCTGCTCAGCCCTTATGGGGAGACAGAGAAGGGCCTGGCAGGTGGCTGGAAGGCCTCCAACAAGGGGATCATTGGCTTCCTTTTAAGTGGCTCACGGACTGCTGTGGGCAGAGAACCAAATTAAAGCAGATCTTTCCTTCCTCTGATCTCCTTCAGTATGGAATTTCTGCTTCTCACTTAACCTTTTTGTATTTCAATTTCCTCACCTGTCAAATAGTGATAATAATTTTATTTACCTCATAGTGCTATTATTATGATTAAATGAATTAATACACAAAAGGGGATAAAACTTCCCAAAAGGACAATTACTGTATAATTCTAGTTATATAAGGTACCAAGAGAGGTCAAACTCATAGAGACAGAAGAATGAATGGTGGCTTCCTGGGGCTGAGCAGGAGGAAAGAAGAAGGAGAGTTTTTAATGGGCATGGAGTTTCAGACTGTGATAAAATGTTCTGGGTTGGCTAGCTGCAAAACAATGAGAATGTACTTAATCCTCCTGAGCTGTTCACTTCACAGTGTTTAAGAGGTTAAATTTCATTGTATTTATTTTATTATATATATTTTCCCACAATAACACACATAAACACATTTTCCAGGTGTATAACAGGTGCAATGTAAGTGTTGGCTATCATTTATTATTATTTACTTTTGATGAATATTATTTACTACTTCATTTTATAAATATCTGTGTACATATATTTTCTCTGTAAAAAGCCTCCTGTTTGTGTTTCTCTCACCTTGACTCAACACCTGCACATAGGCAGCTCCAGTTTATCTACATAAAATGGATGAGCATGCTGAACCAGAAAACGGAATATTCCAAAGGAAATCCTGCCACATTTAACGTCCTGGCTTACAGAGGAGCTGATGTTCTGCCCTGGTGGACAAGCCAGGGAAGACACTTGGAAAGGCCATAACACTGGTCCTGTAATTTTCTTCTCAGCAGATTGCTTTGAACTTCAAGAACGATTAAGATCACCCCGGCAGAGCTGCTCAGGGACGTAGTTCAGGGTCATCCTGTGTTTGGAGGGCCTTTTGGAGACTGGGTCAGAACAGCAGGAAGCCAAAAGCTCAGGCTGGTCTTCGTGTAACCTGGAGTTCCATGCAACACCTTTGATCAGGCTCCTCAAACTGGCCCTCAGAGAAACCCTCTTTGGAGGAAGAAGCAGGGGTTGGGTATGCTTCTACCTTCTAGGCTGTCCCTCTTTTAGCAAGAGCCCTCCCTCTTTGCCTTACCATTCTGTTTCTCCCCATCCAGAAGGGGAAAGGAAGACAGAGAAGTCTGCAGTTTTCAACAAATATTCCAAACCTAACTGTTAGGAGCCGCAAGAGACACTGTAGAAATACCAGAGGAATCACCTGAAAGAATTCTTTGGAAAGGCCTACAAATGAGTGACTGCACCTGGTCCCCAGAAGAAAACCCTAGGGAAGAGTTGAGGACTAAGAGCACTGAACCTCTTGAGTCTCACACAGTAAGCTTTAGGCTATTTTTGTGGAGAATATTTTCACGAGCTCATTGGAGCTGTGAGGCTTCATCAGAAAGCAAGACTTCACCTTCTGGGGGATGAAAGTTAATTTCCAGGGACCTTAAACAACCTTTGGCCTTGGCTTGGGAGGCTGGAGAAAGAGGAGCTGGGTGCCACTGGGCAGCAGACATGAAGAGCCACAGGCAGGTGATTAAGATGGTGGCTGAAAAGGGCAGTCAAGAACAGATGAGCCAGAAGCTTGAGGATTAGGAGAAAGCCTCCAGTCCTGTTGGAAAAGGTTAGGGAGACAATGCACATTTCGGCTCTGGCCCCAACCTTCCCACTAACATGAACAATTTCTGCTCTGAATACACCTCCCACTTCACATACTTTGGCTTCTCCACTGAGTTTGTATAAATTCCCAGTTAGCTGGAGATTACGGATGAGTTACTGTGGATGAAGGGTTGTAACCCTGTGAGCCACCTTGGGAAAGTGCATTCTGCTGAGCAGGCCCAAAGGAAGCCAATGACAAGTCAATTCCTTGTCAGCTAAAGGCTTCCTTTTGAAGACTCCCCAGGGCCTGCTGTAGGGACAAGGGCAGGGAAGCGTGTAAGAGCTCAGAATGTGATCCTGATCTGTGTGGTTGTGACTTTCACTCCCTTGGATAGTATTAGACATAGCAATACTGCCTTCATAAGAGTCCTGGTCCATTCAGGCCCTCAAGATTATATTTATGCTCACACATAACACACACACACACACACACACACACACACACACACAAACACACACACAACACCTAGGACCGGCTTACACAGCCAGGTTGATGACCTGTTGGGGCCTTGTTCAAGAGGAGGCTAGAACTGCCTGCTAGAAATACCACGCTACTGGTTTTAGCCACAGAGTGAAGCACACAGTCCGTGTGCACTTTGCATGCAGACAAAGATGCGAGACAAAAACTAATTCCAAGAAAGGTGTTTGATATTCAAGCAAACATGAAGAATGGCAAACTGGCTCAGTGCCCGTAGAATCAAAAAGCAGTTTCTAAATCCAACTCTGATGTTGCGGACCTTGAGCAAATTATCTAACCTCTCTGGTTCTCTGTTTTTCTAAGTACAGATCAGGAGCTCTAAGTATGTCCACCTGATCAGCTATACAATGTATAACTGGAGGAAAAGGAAAGAAAGTGTTAATAAAATTCTTTGCCCATATACAAGGCACATAATGCTGAGGCATGCAATAAAGCAATCATAGAGACATCTGGATATGCACACTGCAATTTCCTGTCTCTGGCCCATATCCTCCGGTTAAGTGCTATCATTAATTCAAGATGAGACACAAAAACTGTGTACCCCACAGACCTTGACAGACACAGTGAAAACAGTGTAACACAGTAGAATACATAACCTCATATACTAAGCCCCAAATGACCTGGCAAGTGTTTAGTCTGCTACAGCCTGTGGGGTAAGAGTCCTGGGATATCACTCATAGATATCTATTCTTAGGTTCTTGTTTTGCTCAGATTTCTTAGACATTTCCCTTTCCTCATACTCCCGCAACTGTGATCTCCACATAAAAATAAAATTCTGCTACTTTATTAAGGTACATTTAGCTTAACTAAGGGCTGAACACTTTGGAACTCTGATCTGAAAGTATGCAATGATTCTGCACTTAACATAGGCAAAACAACTGTTACTTCTTAGCTCACTCACAAACCAACTTTCACTTATTCCATAAAACTCATAACTGCTATGGATCTTTGTTAATAGATGCAGAGTGCCATGGATTTAAAAATGGTACCTATGTCTGGTAGCCTAATTTATGCAATGAGACCTGGTTATTTACCTGGTTATTTACCTGGCTGTTGTTCAGTTCTCTGCAGAGAAACTAATTTGATGTATTTCTTATTTACTTCATGTCTATGTTCTAAAACTTAACAGCTAGCTGATCTGAAAAAAAAAGTTAATTTCCCATTAGTCAACACAATTATTTTCATTGATTTAAGCATTCTGCGTGTGTGTTACTTTCTGCAACATTTCAATATAAATAAATGTCTAACGAGGTGACCAGAAATAATATACTTTTGACATTTTCTGTCCTCTCTCAAACAGAGTCCTTGACACCAACTTTCCTTGTCAAAAGAATCTCCCAGAATCTGGGAGCAAGGACATTTAGCCTTTACAGATTAGCAGAGCTAAAGAATTTGTACATGTAGCTTTAAAATAGCTGAGGTGTCAAACAGGGGTCAATTTTCACATAGGACATTTATGGTGAAGAGTCTGGTAAGTTACTCACATTGCTTAGAGTATTTATTTATAGTAAATTAACTATTGCAAAGCTTGGTACAATTTATTGCAGAGGCTGTAGGGAAGTCAACCTCACCTCAGAGGGAAGAACTGCATAAACATGTAAGTGTAGACACACACGTGTGTGTATACATGTGTGGATACACACCCAGTACATCGTCTAAACACAATCTTTAAGTTTTACACACTATTTAAGAATGATTTAGAGGGGCTGGGGATTTAGCTCAGCGGCAAAAGCGCCTGCCTGGCAAGCGCAAGGTCGTGAGTTCGGTTCCCGGTACCGAAGAAAAACAAAAACAAAAAAACAAACAAAGAATGATTTAGAGAAATTTACAGAAACTGTCAGAATCAAGCACCAAAAGTTTCATGAGGAAACAAAGACTTGTGCTTACATAGTGGGTTTCTTTTATCATTTTTGTAAGTCTGTTCCTATTCAGTTTAGGGCTTCCCCAGAGAGGATAGGGAAGGGTATTCTTTAAACCTTCCCAATTCCCTTTCTGGGCCACTTTGTCTCTCTTTATTCACTTTTCCTCCCCAGTCATCCTTTCCACAACTCCCTTCAAATACCCCCTGCTCTCTTGCTGAAAAAGTTATGACCACTAAGATATTAGGGGCTAAGAGGAAACCTCTTTGAGGAATAGTTACATGTTAAAAAGAGAACCTTCGGAAAGGCAAGACCTTAGGAAAGGCAAAACCTTAGAAACTGCATCTTCAAGGCTGGAATTGTAGGGGTTTTTAGCAGGACAGAGTTTGGAAAAGGGGTGCTGTTGTTTTGGAAGGAAAAGTATCTTCTCAGTGCCCTTAAAACATGTCATATATGTCCTTTCCTATTCTCACAAATAAATTACTTGACCATCTAAATGAAAGGCAATTCCGGCATTTCATAAAACTAGATTCACTGATTTTCTTACTTGATGTCATCTGATTCTTTCCCATAAACTCTTCCCATATACACACACACACACAACACACACACACACTGGTACTAAGGACTGAGCCCAGGATCTTTACACTGAACTACATTCATAGCCCTCTTGTACTTTCTATGAGACAGAGTCTTACTAAATTTCTAAGTTGGCCAGGCTGAACTTGGACTTGGGATCTTTCTGCTCAACCTCCCAGAGTGTTGGGATTATATATTTTTAAATATATTTATTGGTAAACATTGGATGTGCTTTTTGCAACATACTATCTGGTGGACTTTTCCAGGTTTTCAGGCACATCTTCTCTGTCAACCAATATTTGCTCTATTTTTTAACTCTTTCTTAGCACATTTCTCCTTCAGTAACCTATCTGGCCCCATCTGTCACATCACTAGTACTCCTGGCAATACAGAGGTAAAAGTGAAACCCTCCTCATTAAGGAGGAAATGAATGTGAATCCACTCAGCACGATGATGTGAATGTGAGAACTTCCAGCATATCCTGGACCATAGGTTCCTGCCTGAGCAGTAACCAGGCTATGTTCTAAAAGATGAAGGACAGCGTGGCTGGCAGGGAGAAGGGCAGGAAACACCATGTACTTTCCAGTCTCTGTCCAGGCGGACCTGGCAGCTGGACAGGGCAGAAATGGCCAGAGGCAGTGCGAGCATGTTTGTGCACCAGCTCGGTGCCTCTTGAGCCAGAACAAACAGTTCAATGTCAGCTCACACACACACACACACACACACACACACACACACACACACCTTTCCTCAACCAGTCCTCAGAAATGATCATTTATATATCTACATTTTCAAATCAGAGCTGGTCTTCACATTCAGGTGGAGGTGGGTAAGGGGCTGGCAACAAAGCTCAAGGCACAAAGTAATGCTGCAGATCAATTTTTATGCACTGTTCGTCTGAAAAAATGATGGCCAATTCTCAGGCTCTTGTGGGAGGTATCCTGGGGGGCATAGCCTCTTATTCCTCCAAATGCTCTTATCCAAGTATTCCTATACATGAGCTCAAGAAACTTCTGCAGATCATTTCTGATTAATTAAGTCTACCTGGCTAACCTCTTTATCCTTCACTTTCCTTCCCACATAATTGATATTTTTCTAATATTGCTGCTGTACTCCGTCCTGGCTGAAAACCATTTTCATGGAATCCCATGTGACATGGTCCTCAGAGCTAGGATTTGACTTCTCTCCTTCTCTGTGATTTGAGGAGACATCTTTGACCATTCTCTGACTCAGTTTCCCTGTGTATGAAATGAGGCTACTGTTCCCTCTCTCAGGGATGCTTCTATGGAATGGGGATGTACTGAAGCTAGAACACTGACAGCTTCACAAGGTGGTGTGGGAATCCAGGGGAAGGTCGCTTACCTTCAATCCCATCTATACAGGCTCCTTGGAAGGCAGGGGAGGTCAAGCAGCCTGGATGTGGGTATGCTTATTACACCAGCTTTACTGCTAATACATTCTTTGTGTGTTTTCTTCATTATGGGTACTCAATGTGTGGTAGAGAAATATTCAATAAGCACTTGCTGAATACATGACCATCTGACAGTTTGACAGATGCCCTTTCCTGGAGTGCAAGTAGAGTGTATCTTTATGTATCGACTTTCAATCAATGTCTCTTTACTGATGTGCACTTATATGCAACCCTCTTTTACGCAGTATTTGGAACCTGCTGTCAACTATGTTAATACTGCATTGCACTTAAGATGAGTGAGGGTTAGTGCTCTGGGCCACTCACGCCAGTACCCAGTTAGCAAGGAGTATTCTGTGGCATCCTAAGGCAGTGGCAATGAACCTATGGCGTTAGTGCTCCAGCCAGCTCTTTGTTGTCACTAAAAGCTCGAAAAGGTTTGTTTGTTATCACGGAAAGTTCTAAAACATTCACCATCGCTGGCCTAAGAGGCCTAGGAAGTTGCAAGGAAGTCAAAGAAGGAATGGATCCATTCTTTCAGTTTACTCTTGTACCTGAGCTGGCCGTGTTTACCTACACCAAGCCAGCACCCTCACAGAGGTCCTGCTCTTCAGTGTTTATTCAGAAAAGCTGGATCTGCATTTGTATTTGTTTCTAAGTCCTTCTCTAAATGGCACAGTGAGGGAGCACATCTCATTTACTGCACAGCCCTTGGTTTTCATGACACCTGCAGGGGGTCGAGGCTCTAGTTCTCTGGATCTGACAGAGAGTAGAGATGTGCTACCTTGTTAGTCCTCTCTCATGTGCAGGTTTTCCTATGTATGTATGTGGCCAAAATGTATTGGAGAAGTCCTTTATGTGAACTATCTCATGTTTTTATAGGGTTGTAAGAATAGTCGTACTATATCCTCTTCTTACTCAAAAAGAATATTTACATGGAAATCAGTATTGTGGCACAGTGTCTGCCTGGCAAACGCAAGGTCGTGAGTTCAATTTCTGGTACCAGAAGAAAAACAAAAAAACAACAAAAAATTAAAGCAGTAATTATTTTGGTTGCTAACAAATTCACCAGTGTTGGCACATGCTACACTGAAAAATAACTGATCAAAGAAGTAGGAATGAGATGAACAAAAAAGGCTCCAACCTGAAGGGCTTTATCAAGACATGAGGGGGAAAAGTAACACCGAAATTGTGCCAGAAAGCAATGAAAAATGAGGGCTGGATTCATATAAAGTGATGTGCACCTGAATATGATGATTTCTGAAAAGCTTAAGAATTTTAGTTTTAACCACCAGCCCATTGGGATAAATATTTTATAAGCCTCTAAAGGAGGCCACACAAAGACTGTGCCTTTTTCCAGCAAGGTGAGCGCAGCTCGCTGGCATCTCTGAGGTATGGTGGGAGTAAAGTCTAGTTTGCAAATTTTTCATAGGAACAATGAATATCAAATTATTGAAATAGTTCATTGTTCAAAAGCCCCTCCCGCCCCCTCTGCTCCATCTGCTAAATGTGCTTGGGGCATTGCATGGTTCAGCATTTAGAACACTCCAGTCATCTGAGGGGAAAGTGACCTTCCCTCAGGTTGGAGAGCCTCGTACTGTGACCTAACGAGGACATTCCCTTAAGACCTCAGAGGCAGGAACGTGTTATGTAGATGCAATGCTGCCTGTGCTAGACTATATCTCCCCACGGCCTTGCTCAGTGCCTGTCTTCCACCGTAGCACTGAGAAGAGAACTGTACTGAATGTACAGTTACGGCAAAACCCGAAACGAGTCAATGTGCTTCCCTGAACACATGGGGACTCTCAATGAACCTCATCCAGCGGCAGTTAAGGGGTAGTCCTACGAAAACGTTCACTTCCTAAAGTATTTTTATTAGTTGATTGTGATCAGCTTTCAGGTTTGGCCCCTGTACACTTATTGGGAACCAATAAGGTAAGCCAAGCAAAGGTCTGAATTGATCGCTGGTATCTAGTAGCTTCACTCTTCTCATCTCGGTTTCCCAACAGACATGGTGAAGATGTAGGAATGTAGGGTCCCAGTAGGAGTGTTTGTGGAAATTCCTGTTCCTAATCTAGCTCTTTGCATCCCAAATAAGAATGTCAAATCTCCTTTGCAGGCCTTTCACAACTCCCGAGGGAGTGTAAGATCTGTAGCTGACAGTTATACACCTCAGTGCTCACACCTTTAAAATACCTACCAGCCTCAAGGCTGCTCTTTTCCTGCACCTTAGCTCAGCTCTGAAGGAAATGTGAATATCTTGTTTTTCAGGGACAGCTAGTATGGGTGCTGGATGCTTATTCAGAAAACATCTTCACAGGAGTGGAATGGCCGAGCTGCCCAGTTCAATTTTTCAGATGACTCATGTGGCAAGAGCTGAGCTGACCTGAGGGAGACAGCACCAGGTTCGAGGCTGTGAGGTGCGGCACTGCCCCGGCGTGGGTTAGATGGGTGAGTCAAGGCTGTCACTTTCCTTTTAGGAACTGTGGTGAAAGGAAAGGCACGTAGCTCTCTGGGCCATTCTAAGCATTTCTTAGGAAGGAGGAAAATGCTCTGAAGTGGGATTGTTTGGACTCTGGCAGCCCAAATTGAAAAGGAAGTCCAGAAAGAAGCTCATGAACCATGAAGATGCTGATAATTGGGGCTACTGTTCTTGTTGGTGTTATTATATTGTTTGTTTACTTTAGATACAATACTTTAAAAGCAATTCAAGGTAAAGTGCAAGAAAATAGAAATTTCTGATTTATTTGAAGTGTGGGGGGCCAGGGAGATAGTGGCACAGCGCCAGCCTGCATGCATAAGTCCTGAGTTTGATTCCCAGTACCAAATAAAATAAAATAGGGCTGCGGATTTAGCTCAGTGGCAAAGTGCCTGCCTCAGAAGGGCAAGGTCGTGAGTTTGATTCCTGGTACGGAAGAAAAAAAAATAAAAAATAAAATAAAATAAAAAGTGTGTGTTTATGGTGAAATTTTGAAGAACACACTTATCACAAAAGTGGGTAGCCTGTAAGCTTAGGATGTTTTGTGTTTCTTTTACTGAATTTTCACTTTCTGCTATCTTTACTCAAAAAAGAACTTATGCCATATATCAGAAAAAAGGACTGTTCATGCTGGACAAGTTTACAGAAATCTGAAATGCAGGAAGGAGTTGTTCATGGATCATTAAGGTCTATTTCATCTGTAGCTTTTGTCACAGATTATATCTTCACTCAGCACTGTAGGTATAATTGGATTTTAGAGTTAACATTTCTTTAGTTGTATAAATTTGTAGTGTTTAAAGGTAATGGGAAGATTAATTGAATAGAAAATTACTATCTAATCTTTATCCTACCACTGAATTTCCAAGGCAGGCATACCAAAACAACTCAGATCACTATCTGGCATGACACCCTCTGTATGATGTTATACACACTACTATCCTGGGAGCAGGACATCATAATAGGTCGCGGGACATCATTTTTGAATTGAAGAAGGACTGAAGAGACAAAGAGTCTATGTTTATGTAGACTGAATAAATACATCAGATTTCCCTTACTCTTAATGTTCTTCACTTACAACCTGCCCTGTGTACAAATAGGTTCCTCACTGATACCCTGTGGACAATTATGGTAATGATAAGTTAGTGGGCACCATAGCTTATTGTGCACCTTTATCTCTAAAATGAAAATATAAGGACTGATGTGTCTCAAATATATTTTATTGTGGGTCTTAAGAAATTTGCCTCACTGTTTATAGACATGTTTTTTTCAGAGACTTAATTTTCAAATTCTGGAAGTGTTAAGCAAAGTTCAAAATAACCAGATGGGAAACACCTACATTTTCTTTGGGGAGACATACTCTAGTAATGGTGATTCCTTGGACAGATTAAAATAGATTTGAGTGAATCTCAGCTACAAGGCCTGAGTTTTCTTGGTCACAGCAATTCTGCAAAGGCTTGACAAATGCTTGGGAAATAAAACTGGTGCATTTCCCCAGTGAGCCAGTACCTGCCAGAGAATGTTATCTTTTTCTCTAGGAAAGGAAAGTGAGATGTTTCCAGGAGGAGAGTTTTCTTTTTCAGAGGCATTACAGAAAGGATGGTGGGATTTATGGAAACCATGGAATGAAGCTTTCTGTTCTCTTTCACCAGCCTCCTAGTATTTGCTAAGTAGCTTCTGTGTGCAAGAGACTCTCTGTAGTGTCATTACCTGTGTCTAAGACAGTTTTCAGGGGATTTATGACAGCTCATGGAGTCCAGAGTTCTGGTTCAGCCTCTGTCCCTCAAGGTGATTTGAAAAGTCTTCTCCTTTTCTCAGTCTCAGTTCTCCTATGTCTGAGATGAAGTTGTTGTTTGTCTCCTTCTATGAAGGATGTTGTCAGGTAGGGAGAGAAGGAAACAAGAAAGTAATGAGGCTATGACACTAAGGTCCTTTGAAAAGATGATGTGGGCTCCAAGGGGAAAGTCACTTTGGTTAAGAAACATGGCTTTAACCTCTTCTCGACAGTATCCTGTAAGACAGAAAGAACTAAATATCATGGACCTGGGTGTGGGTGAGAGTGCTACTGTGTTACACCAGCAATATTGCTGGTGTATCAACCGTGAGCTCTTTTCTTTGGTAGGACATCCCCAGTGGCTGTGAGGTATTTAACAAACACTTGTTGAATAATTGACCAACTGCATTAACAAGTACCTTTTTCAGGACTTAAAGTGTAGTGTTCTGTGTGCAGTAGAGGCCAAATAGATGGTTTGTGACATGATGTTCTATTTCAACTCACTTGACGTGCAGACTTCAAAGCTTTCAGTTGACTGCATTGGTATTCAGTTATTCTTAGGATGAATAAAGAATGTTGCTCAGAGGTACCCACTCTAGCATCCTACTATCTATGCATCCTACTATCTGTGGCTTCTTTTGGGAATGGGGAAAGCAGAATTATTGTTCTTTCTTCTACCTCCCTCTTGGTTGAAGACCTAGGTTTTGCAATGAAGATCCCTGTTGAAAAGCTAGTATCTAGGAGACAGCAAGACTCAATCAGCGCTGTTCAAATGTGCTCGAGTTCTGCATAATGACCATGTTCACGTGCTACAAAGAACCTCCTCTAGATAAAGAGTTCATGACTCCCCAAGTAAACGAGTTAATTACTTAGTTGCGCAGTTGGAGGAGAGCTGGGAAAGCCTGACGCCTAGTGGTCACATGGAGCATCTGACACTACCACAGAGAGCTAAGAAGGAAAATGTCTGAAGAGCACTGCTGAATCTTGGGTCTGGAAGAAACTGAAAGAGAACCATTTCCAATTAAAAACAAAAGTTCTGAGACACAAGACCCACGATTCTGTTTTCACCCTGGTTGTGAGGTTTTTAAATTTCTGGTAGAAAGGACAAAAATCCTAGAAAAATATAAAACCGTTAAAGAAAATCTAGAACCTACAGCAGTGCACGCCAGGATGGCTCCACACTAAGCTGCAGACACCATCCTCCAATTCAAGGAAGGATTTGAGAGAGAAGGAACTTTGGGTTCAAGGTTTACATACTTGTCCCACTCAATCTGCCTACAAAATTAGGGCATTTGGAGCAAGTTATTTCAGTGGATTGTTCCAGCTCCAAAGCATCTCAGCTACAGTTTTTAACAGATGGATCTGGGGCACCTCAGTGAATAGCTGAATAACCTTCCACAAGCTACTGAATATCTCCACGCCTTGGTCTATCTAAAAGTGGAAAGAAATTTTATTCCTTTAAAAGCTTTCCTGAAAGATAATTCATAGTTAACAAAACTATATAAAAGTACAAAAGTCATTTGATGCAGAACACAGTACTTCCTAAGAATATCTCCTAATAAAATAAAAAGAGGGTCAGAGATGCATAGATCAACTGTTCATTGTAAACTATTTTGAAAACAATCTAAATGTTCTTTAAGGAGTTGATTACATGAAGTACCTCTGTATAATAGAATATAATAAAAGAATTTCTAATATTTTAAGACACAGAATATTTGGTAAAAAGGAAACCACAAAACACCATGATTTCTTTTGAGAACAGGTGTGAAATTATATATTCAGTGCTTGAAATTATCAGCCATGAATGGTGGATTTTTTGTATGATGTTTATAGTTTATGCTTCTTGGTATTGTCTGATTTATTTTTGGAAGTGAGCATATATGACTTCACACCCAAAAAATCAACAATAAGGTAAAAAAATTTTCATTTCTACTCTTATGCCACAAAGAAGGTGAAAAGACAGTAGAGGCTAATAGCTCTGAAACAGTTCAAGTTCATAGCTGCCGGTAGGGCGCTTTTGTTTACTTAGATTATTTATTCTTACTGATAATGCTCTTGTACATTTTGACAGTAACTTACCAGGGCAAGAAGGACAGGTCATGTTTGTCTTCCTGTAAAAGATGACCAGGGAAACAGGTACAATACCAATTTCAAGGCTGTTCCCTTTTGGCTCATAGCATTGTCTTCAGGGAAGTTGTGGTCCTGTTCCAGTGTAGATCAGATGATCAGGATCCAACTATCAATCTCTGGAAAAAGAGAAAAGGAAAAAATCATTGTCTCCAGTCATGTGGACTCCATCCCTCTTTTCTAGCGATCATAATGTTGGATGCTGCACATAACATAAAATGCTTCACACAGTCCTCCGTTCTAATTCTCACAACAAGAGTAATAATGCTCTTTCTTCATGTTTTACTGCCAGGTAGAGCATTAGCTCCTGAGTACACTGACCAGGTGTGTGGACTAAAACAGGAAGACTCCTGTGCTGAGGGCTTGATCCCCAGTGCAGCAAGTCAGGGCTAGGGTCTGCAGAGATGACTGGCCTGTGGAGATACTAGGTGTACAAGTGGATTAATCTATGGTACGTTGACAGCTGGATAGGCTACCAGGTTGTGGAGACCACTTGAAGTAAATAGGTGCCTGGAGGTGTCCCCAGAAGGATATTTGTTGTCCTGGCTCCTTCTCACTGTGACTCTCTCACTCTTTCTGCTTGCTGGCTGCCGTGAGGTAAGGTAAGCACCTTTCTGCCATCTTGCCCTTCACCCTGATATTTCTGCCTCCCCACAAGTCTAAAAGCGATGGGGCTGGCTAACCATGCACCTAAACCTCCGAGACTATGAAAGAAAATAAATCTTTCCTCCTTTAAATTGTCTTTCTCGGGGGCTGGGGATTTAGCTCAGCTGCACAGCACCTGCCTGGCAAGCGCAAGGTCATGAGTTCGATTCCCGGTACCGGAAAAAAAAATAAATTGTCTTTCTCAGGTATTGGGTCACACCAATGTACTTGGAGGTATCGACCCATCACAAGTGGTGTTCCGAGGTACTGCCCCTTGCTCTTCTGCAGTTGGCTGGAAGTGGTAAAAGAAGAAGAAGAGGATAATTTCATCCATTTGTGAAGAGGATAATTTCATCCATTTGTGAGGGGAGACAGTCTGTGAACGCTCCACCTGGAAGAGGTTGGTGAGTGAGATCACGACCTGGAAAGTAAAGTAGAGAGATGGAGCTGTAGCTTACACCTAGTGGAAGCCATTTTACTGAAATAGAAGCAAGCACCTAAAAGTGAGCACTTAAGCACCTGTGGGAGGGTCAAGTATCAGTAAAGCTTTGCCTGAGAAGACCTGTATGAGAAAGCTGAGTTGGTCTTTAGTTACTGCCTAGATCTCTGATGCGTCCCTTCCTGCGTGATTTCTCAGAGCTCCCTGTGAGGCGCTTTAAGGATGCAGGCTTTGAGGAGGAAAGATGCACATGCGCACTGCTCCTCATCCCTGTGTTCGAAGTTCTTTTCAGACTACTCTGCCTGCTGGTAGGAAACAGCTAATAAACAGAATATCTTCGATTGTGGATTTTTCAATTGCTTTTTCTTTTACTTTTGTTTTGTCTTTTGTTTAAACATGTAGATAAGACTGATTCACCAAAAACGACCACCAAGGAAAATGAAATTCTGTGAATATTTGTAAACTTTGGATCATGATCTACCCATTTATTAGGCATTGTTAGTGTGGATATTGACACAGATGATGACACCAGGTAGCTTGCTAAGTACTTTCCATAATGATCTCTTTTTACACTTGTGAAAACCTGGAACTTAGGAAAAGACATTCACATCTCAGAAAATCAAGATTCAGAGAGTTTTTCGTAACTTTCCTCAAATAACACGTGCTTCTCACCCAACTCTACTGATCACTCATCTAACCAATGCTTCAGAAGCCAAGTCAACCCTGAACTTCTATCAGGAGTCAGTTACCAGTAGTAACAACAAGAAAAGCTAATTTTTATTGGATAAGAATCATTTTCATGGCGTAGTAATGAGCTTGCTTTGAAATAAGACTTTGGGCTCCAACACTTTCTAGCTGTCCTGATTTGTATAACCTTGTTTCTCAGTTTCCACAATTGCAGTGTAAGGAAAGAGGCCCTTACCACATAGGGTTGTCATAAGGAGTAAATAAGTAGCTCAGCACCTAGTAAACATCATAAATGTTAGACACTATTATTGTCATTACTATATTTTTAAGCTCTCTATTTTGCATGCATTATTTTACTGGATCCTCTCAATAAATCTATTCAGATAAGATCTTAAAGCTCAAGATATTAAGAATCAGCCAAGGAGAAATACCCAAGGATTGATTTGCCCTACCTTTGGATGTGTCTTAATCCTTACTCTCAAGTGACATCATCAGGAATATTTCTCTCCATTTATGAATCATCTTTCCCTGTTTGTTGGCTTCCTTTTTACTCTAGCTTTTCCTTCTTGAGTGTAAGACGGCTGGCAGGGTCTATGAAAATGTATCTTGACAGTTGAAGCACCGAGGGAAAAAGGGCCTTTCTTTTCCACTTATACTAGCATACATCCTGGATTACATTTCACTGATCTGGAGTTGTGTGCCCCCACCAAACCATACTTTGTGGCCAGGGTGATGGAATCATCTAATCTGGGAGGCTTGGTTTTATTTTTTTTTTTTTTTTTTTGTTTTTTCTCCTGTACCGGGAACCGAACTCATGACTTTGCACTTGCCAGGCAGGCGCTTTTTGCCGCTGAGCTAAATCCCCAGCCCCCATGGGAGGCTTGTTTTTAATTCACACTTACTCCCCCGCATAAAGCTGAGGCACACGGACTATGGTGGGGTCAAGTGGCTCTCCAAAAGAAACATTAGTTGCTATTACCAAAAGAGAGGAATGCATTGTCATTTTTTGAGACAGTATTTCACTATGTGGTTCAGGTTTGCCTGTGGATGCTCTTTAAGGAAGAAGGGTTTATGTCTACTACCATGTGGTGCACTTGCACAATATGGATACTTGGAGTGGAATGAGAAGACATGGAGTCCACTGGTGACTCACTGAGGAACTTCACACGAGCCCCTTAACTCCCCACAGCCTCAGTTCTCCTCTTTGCAAAGACACATGGATGGCCTTATTTTACTATGACTTTGACTTTATAGTTCAGAAAACTAAAGTACAGACAAGTAAATAGCTTTTGGTAATAGCGACTAAGCTAATTTGTTTTTCTTTTGTTTTGTTTTTTTAATTTTTTTATTTTATTTTAAAAAACAAAAGAAGGAAAACATATTTACAAACAGACATCCATTTACAAAATAGCATAAGAACAATACAAACAATACAGAATTACAAAGTGGTAGGAAATTAACAGTGGTTGTTGTATTACGTATTGATACCTTCAAAGTGGTTTCTCAGGGAAGCAAATAGAGACATGCAGGATTGATCAGACAAATAATTATTAACTGTTCCTTTCAGTAAAACAATAGGAGACAGTAGCACAACTACGTTAGCTATCCAGTACGTACATACATACATAATTTTCCTTTCTTTCCCTTCTCTTTTACCACACCCCAGTTACCCTTTACTTTTGAGCATTTTCCTTTCATTTCACAATACTGATCATACCTCCTACTTTTTATTCACTCTTTCAGGTTCTTACACTAATGAGACAATACGTTGCTTGCATATACAGGTCTGATTTATTTCACTTATGAGTACGGTCTCTAGTTGTGACCATTTACCTATAAAAGCCTCGAGTTTATCTTACTTTATAGCTGAGGAATATTCCATTATATAAAGTACCACAATTTTTTAATCCAGTCTTCAGTGGATGGACATTTGGGTTGGAGGGTAAGCTAATCTGAACAGCCAGACTAATTCCTGAGTTCTCTGTTAATAACCAGTAGGCTTTACTGCCATATATCTGAGAAATGAGGAGAATGGACAAAATAATTTCTAAGGAACTTTTATTGTTGTTTTACTTTGCCACTTTGCTTCTTATTATTAGAGGAAAGATGAGGAGGACAAGCAGCAAAAGGACAGGGAGAGAAGTATTACTATCAGTAATAACACTCTTGGAAGCCCCATGTTACAAACACCGGCTTGGAGAGGTTCTATAGACCTGGTCTATAGGCTTCATACATTCTTAGACTGAGTGGGTATTCTGAGTCTGATATAGGAAAACTAATGCTCTAGGATTTCTACATAAATCTGGAATCTACCCTTATAATAGCCATCACATTGGGGTGTTCACTCATTGTCAGTTTAGTTGCTTAATTGACGCTACTGAATGAAATTTGGCTGTTGAATATGACTGTGAAGAAGATATTTTTCTGTTGAACAGTAACGTTTTTTCATTTCCTTGAATCATCTTTTCAGTAAACATTAATGCTGACTTAAGTATCCTCTTACTTTAATCTGCTAATCTTCTGAGTCTACTTCTGGAACTGTTCTTTATCACCAGGTGGCTTAGGGTAAAAGTAGTCTATGAATTAATAACTCACATCAAACTGACAAGCAGCTACTTAATGTTGAATAATGAATAAGTAAAACCTTCACAGGTTGGCAGTTCATGATTACATAAATAGAAAGTCATGGAATATGAAAAGTTAATTTATTTCACATAGTACAATAATGCAAAAAGTTAAGTTATATATCCTTAGGCATAAAAATGATCTTGCTATGTAGTTTAAGTTGACTTTGAACTCACTGTGTAGCCAAGATTGGCCTTAGATATGCTGTGATATTCCTGCCTCAGCCTCTGGAGTGCTGGAATTATAAGTGTGCACCACCATGCCTGGTGTTTGTTTAAACTATTCTAGCAAAAGAATAATGAAACTTCTTGGTGTCTTCAAGAAACTTGTGAGTTTACAGATTGTTGTAGTGGATGGTGTATGTTCCAAATCATCTTCTTGTTTTAGATTATTTGTTCAGTATTTTTATTAACATGACATACTAAGATTTTTGAGAAACTTACAACTGTTCTGATTCTTATTATCTATATGATAGTCATGAGATTTTGTCAGTACTTGGATGAATTTTGGCACGTTTAGGGTGGTATGTCCATAGACTGGTCAGTACTCAAAACAATTTAGTAAACATATATAATAATAGATATACAGAATCAAATATAAGGTTTACTAAGCATATAGAATAATTTTCTTATAAGAGCTCCCTTCCTAAAAGTATGAATGGTATTTATAACAATAACTATGAATGCAGCAATAGCAATAATGACTATAACATGTGTA